CCTTCTGGGACGGCACAGGATTTCCCGGGATTAAACAGTTATGAGTTTCAAGACAAACTAATTTGATATTGTCCTGATTATCTGAATGTATGATTATCTTGTGATTTTCTGATTTTGATTTCTTGATTTTCTGATTTTCTAAATTTGCGATTCTCAGACATTATGATTTTCAGATGGTCAAATTTGGCCTGGAACTGGTCATTTCTGATTCCCTTTGTTGTTACCTTATTGCAATTGGATTCTTATTTCTTATTTTTATCAGATTAAGATTACTTCTGATTTTGGTTCTTTTTTTGATTTCTTTATTAAAGAGACTTTCAGCCGTAGGCTGGTTCGTCTCTGAAAAATAATATATGAAAATACAGTTAATTCAAATTCATTTTTTTTCACTTTCTTCCTAGCTGCTTATTTTTGCTCCTCGTCTTGACTGGTGAGTCTGGAACTGACAATTCGTCTTCTTTTTCTTTCATCGAATTTTCATTTCCTGCTGATTCATCATTCTGGCATTCTGGCAACCCTGGTTCGTAACATATCGTTTCGCATTGTTGTGTTTTTGTTTCGTTGACAGCCTTCGTTTGTTGGTGACGGTTAGAAATTCATCCGATTCACTATCCGTCGATTCTTGTGCGCTATTGTTTCCATCGGAGTGTTGGTGCTGGGTGTTTTTGCTGGTTTCGCCTATTGTAGATTGGGTTTGATTGGTATCGAGTAATGTTTGTTCGCTGTTTTCATCGTTTGTGACCTTTCCTGCGTCTGTAGGGTCATTGACAGTAATGCGTGATGTAGAGCTATTACACTTTTGTCGGGGATGAGCCTTTTGTCCACAGAACCTACAGGTTTTTGCTTGATTGCGATATGTAATCAATGTTGTCTTACCATCGATCGTCAGATAGGAAGGGATGAGTTGTTTGAGTTTCATCCGTACTACACGTACTCCATTGTAGATGCCGGGAAAATAATTCTTCCACATTTCTCTGCTGATGGAAAGAATAGTACCGTATGGTCGCATACTTTCTATAATCACCGTGTTAGGTGTTTTCGGAGGGAGATCATGGATTCTCACGTTAACGGCTTCGTCTTCCACGAACACGGGAATTTTGTAAGCTTTTTTCTCGCACTGCATAGTGTGTTGTAGATGGTGTGATGCAAAGTAGTGCTTGGCTGTTGCTGCATCTACCATCTCGACGTAGACACAGTTTCTAACATTGTGAAACTGGATGTTTAAGGCATCCGCTATGTCCAGTTTCAACTCCCCGTACATGAATTTCTGTACGGCAGATGCATCTGGTCGCTTCGGCAGCACCCTAAAGTCTACTACCAAGGTGTTCTCACGTTTAGCACCCATCTGATAGAAAACTCATTAGCTTGTAACCTGATAACGAGACGGATAAAAGAAACACGTCTTTCACGCACGGGGCTTAGCTGTCAACTGGATTTTGGTTCTGATTTATTCTGATTTCGGAATTTCTATTTCTTTTGATTATTGAAATTGTATCAATGATTTCTTAAGATTTCTGGTTTCTTTGGATTTATTTTGATTTCTTCAGATTTATTCTGATTTATTCTGATTTCTTCCGATTTCTGATTCCATTTGAGTAAATAAATATCAAGAGATCGTTTGTCTGTGCCGTTCACCGGGATTAAACGAAAGTCTAACCTAATGGTTTAGGGTGCAATTTCAAAAATCCAAAATCGACCGCGTTAAGAAAACTCTGTCAATAGTGGATGGATTTTAATTTATAACAAGCCAATCAATTGGAAATTTTTCTACAAATCTACTAAAATGAGCACTTTATCAATTCTCAATAGGTCACTTTTGAAAATTTCAGAAATGCCTAACTGTTGCACTGGTGATCGGAATTATCACCAATTGCCTGCAAAAAGCGCTTTCCCTAACACAGATAACAAATACGATCTGGTCTCGCCGAACGGTGCTTATTCAATCATCGTGTGTGGTGATGTTCGGTCGGTTGCTATCCAGCAGCAGTGCTGTCGGTCCGTGGCGTTGAACATTGTTCTCCAGTACACAACGTAAGGCTGCCCACAAGCACACAGCAAAAAAAATAATTTTAATATCACATCAAAGTGGATGCACTTCAATCGTGTCGAAAATATGGTGTAATATTACTTGCCAAAAAGGCAAAATTATCATTAATACAGTGCATGAGCTGACATTACGTTGCTTTTACTGCATTTGTTTATTTGTGTGGCCAAAAAATTACATGAGATGTTCGACATGATTGAAGTGCATCCTCTTGGATGTAATATTAAAATTTATTTTTTGCTGTGCAGCGAGCTGCAGCTCGCGTGAGCGTCCATTCACCGAAGAAGGAGGAAGAAGCCGCACCGCTACTGATTGGATTCAGTAGCTTGTAGTGAGCCGCTGTGGTTCATATATGCCAAGAGTGTCACCCAACATACAGCTTGCCAGCCTCATCCGTGTTGAACACCCTAATAACTCAACATTACTCAACCATCACGACAAAATCTCGAATTTATGTGGAAACATAGCATAGCATAGCAAGAAATTCCTCCAATCAAATTTTCGCTTTTTTATTATCTATTGAATACACCGAAAATTCCATGCGTTTTGTGCACGAAAACGGATAATTTTGACATCAGAAAACGAGGCGTTTCCGTGATGGGAAAAAGTTATTTCCCTATCACAGTCGACGAATGTTAATACCAAGCACGTAATCCTACGTCCAATCTACGGTCGTTTTTTGGGTACAACCTCTTACTTTTTGTAATTTAAGGGACTCGGAGGCCCAGTAGCGATCGTTTTTGCTTACTATGATCACATCATTTTTTAAGATGAATCCTGACCCATCAAACTCTACCTACTAACAAAATCACTCTTCCTGTGACCTTTGTGGGAGTGCGGAGGAGAAAAGGGTTCTCAAAACAACAACACTCTATTGTTTTTTCCCCTCACACCTGGTTGAACGGATTAATCTTCAATATGGAATTGGATAATTTGGAGTCAGTCAAGCTTCACTCACAAGCGGTCACTCTCAGCCCCATTCCGTTGATTAATTGTGCAATTTCACCGAACCCGATCAATCACGGCAAAGCGGAATTGCCTAACATTACCAAAATGACTGCAAGGTGATACAATGCTGAGTCCAAAAATTGTCGATTTGGTGGCTGACTTGCACTGCCACTTCAAATTTTCCAGGGCAAAAACCTCGCCCACCACATGCACACGAAATTGCGTCTCCTTGATTGCCCATTGATGACAATAGGGTCCACGATTTGTGATCTGGGAAAGTCAGCCACCAAGGTGACCATTGTTTGACTCTGTATCGTATCATCCTAAAAATGGCAAAATAATCACAAAGAATTCCAAATATGCTTAAGATATGTATGAATTTCCTTGAAAGCAAAAGCCAACCATCAAACGCAAAAAAAAAAAAACTATATATCGCAAAAACGGCTGTGAAATTTTGAAATAGTTTTGAAACAAATCCATTGGAATAAAGAGTGTATCAAGCGATTTGATTTAGGATATGGATATTTTGGAATGCTTCCATGAAATGTGTTTCAATGTTATGCAGATTTTTAATAATTTGTAGTTCAAGCCGATTCTACTTACACAATATTGAAATCCAAGTTTATAGGACTATTTAAATACTGTTCTCAACGAAATTCTCAAGTCGGATTCATTGCTCATGAAATTTAAGAAGCGTTTCACGAGTCTGAATTTCTACGACCAAGCAAAGTTCGAACCCTTTTGGTGGATTGGAACCCGTAAATTAAGAAACATTGTTCCAAAAGAAATAAAAAGTGAATTATGACCCTCAACTTTTCTTAAATTATATTAAATTAGATCTAATGTTTAAAATTCACCAAAATCCAGGGCAAAACATGCTATTCAACTGTTTTGTTTCTGTTTGTGCTGCATACCAATCGATTTTATTCATTATCTGTTTAACCTGATCATGCTTAAATACCTGTTTGCCCAAATTTCGTTATTCACCATCTCGAAAGAAAATTATGCCATCCCGTGAGCTAGGTCATGGCTCAGGTTGCTTCCCTCACCTGATTTTCAAGGCAACCGCCCCAATTTGCTCAATCAAAAAAAAAATCTACAATCAATCATCTTCCTCAAAACAACCGCAAGTTCATGCCACTACTCTACTACTGATGAACTGCATGGGCCGATGATCGAACCTCTCTGGAAGTGAAATTTGCCTTTTCTTCAACGAAGCGTGTGAAACGTCAGCTGGCGCTCGTACCCGCAAGATCGACTAGACTATAGGGAAATCGAAAATCGATCAATTACGATCACAGCTAGGCTGTACACTAGGGTGGGTCAACTATACAATCCCCTGTTTCCCACTGCTCTTTCAATGCGTAGTAAGGTCCCCAACAACTGTGCTCAATTTTAACGAATTTGGTTACGTTCTGGATTTGCGGGAGAGCTTTAAAGTTTGCATGGGAAACGGAACAAAATCGTTCAATTGCTTGTCAAAAATTCAAAAACCGCTCAATTTTTTACCAAAGCTGACTTAGATTGAACTTCGTCGAAGACCGCAAATCGATTCGACTTCTGCGCAAAATATTATTATTTTTTATTTATGGCCATGTGCTCCGCGCAAACCTGCGGGCATGCATATCACTTGTAGGTATGCGTGGAACACTAGGCAAATAGAAAAAAAAAATATAAATTTTGGCGCAAAAGTCGAATCGATTTGCGATATTCGACAAAGTTGTTCTGCATACTTGTCATAATCCAAGTCTCCAGATCGTAACCGAATCCATTCAAATTTACCGCAGTTGCCGGGAACCTCAATGCGAATCCAAAGAGCTGTGGGGGAGCCGAGGGTTGTCATCCACCATATAAACTTGACCCACCCTACTGTACACATCTAACAGCACGAGTTCGTGGAATGCGATCGCCGTATAGCGCAGAGTTTGACCGCCAATTTTGCATGGTGTGAAGCATACCGTTAAGCATCTTGCTCTGCGATTAGCATAAATGGCTTCTTTAGACCTACCTTAAAATCCCAGTCTTTCTCCTTCTCCATCCTTGGGCTATTGTTGTTGTGGTTAAATCCATTGATGTTGTTCGAACTGCTGTTGTTATTGTTGTTGTTGTTGTTGTTGTGATTGATATTGCTTACGCTTACATTGCTCATCCTTCGTCCGACGATGTTTTGACTATTACTACTACTTCGATGGTGATGATGATGATGGTGGCCATTTGCGCGCCCATTATGACCGCCTCCTCCTCCTCCACCGCCCCCGCCGATGTCATTGGATGACGTCATTTTCATTAGGTTGAGCCTCCTTTCCAAAAGCTCTGTTTCAACAGTTATCCAGATTTTGACCTACTGAGCTGCACACGAATCTAACGGGTAGCACATGGCTTCTCTCTGTGTTTGGCTCGCGCCAATCGCCGTTGATGGATGGGTTGTTGTTGTTGTTGAGTGGAGCTGGAAATTACACGAGCCCGCAATCAATGCTGTTCTATTTCTGGTTGCGATTCTGGAAAGGGCAAAAAATTCGAGAAATGTGTTAATCAACTGGCGAATCGTGAGGGTTCGGGACTGTAATAGAAATGTAATTGCGATCATTCGCACCGGGAAAAAACGCAATTGCTTCATTACCGACGTGAGTTGCGTAATGTTTGGGGGGCATGTGAGCGAAACGGATAAGAGGTTTTCGGGAAATTGATCAATTTATAATAATGAAGGGGTTTTGTTTACAGGGGAAAACAAAGAATTTTTTTCGTTTAAAAAAATCCATTTCATCGATTGATGTGGACCGTACACTGAGCTGGACAAAAAAAGAAGAAAGTTTTATAACGGACCACATTGAAGTAATGTGGAACGAGTGAAATAGAGAGAGAGAAAAGGAAAATAGTTTCAAAGTTGTAAGTGAAGTTGAGCACCGAATTACGCCAAAATAGCAATAAAATGTCTCGACAGTGTCGGAAAGCATGCGAATATAATTCCTGGTCAACCTGATTTCTTTACAAAATATCTGAGAGACGTGACTTGAATTGTTGACAGTTGAAGATCTTCAGAACAATATCTAGTCAACCTGGTCTGGTTTTGAAAAAAAATATCCAGAGGGCTTTTCTTTCCTTGATTTTTTTCCGTCGTTCTTGTTTTCTGTACTGAGTATCAATACTACCGAAAGGAGGGAAGCAGCTCTCACACCTGGAACGTACCTATCGGCCCATCAACTCATAGACTGGGGTACATTGGCTTTACTTCCCTTCCGAAGGAAGACGTGATCAGAGATGTTATGCCTCAGAACATCCCGGCGGCGCCAGCTGGGATTGAACCCAAGCCTGCTGGGATGAGAGGCAATCACGCTTACCACTACACCACCAGCACCGCTTCCAAAGGACTTTATGGAGATCTTGGATAAACTGAGGGTCTTTGACAATGATAAATTATCAACCTGACAATTTCCAAGCAAGAAGCTTTTGAATTTTCTCCTTTCAATACTTCCTACAATTCCACAGCACTTCCAACACGTTCACAAAGCTTCCGACAAGTTTACAGATCTTCCGACAATGTCATAGCATCCAGAACTTCCGACAATCTCATAGAACTTCCTTCACAAATCTTTTGGAACTTGGAAAATTTCACAGATCTTCCTGAAGGGTCCTCCGCTGAAATCCCGTGAGATTAGGGCGTGTCCTGTCCAGAGCCTGGAAAAGATCCTCTGGTCTCGCTGGTTTGCAAGGTCCGTCCACTTCCCGATGTCAGGAAGTCTGGCGCTGGACCATTCCGTTGCCCACGCTGTCTGCTCTGAGGAAGTGATCCATCTCTTCACGTCCTGCAACGGCACCTTGTGCGAGTACCGAGGACTGGATGGGCCTGACCCAGCTAGGTTGTCCTCCTCGGTGTTCCCCGGGACCCCACAGTGTCCGGAAATCCATGCGTAGGTAGTGTTTGGTGGCGCAACCTTTAGGATTCCCTGGATCTAGGGGTGGACCGGAACCTCCGACGAGAGGGCCTGAATAACACTCTGGGAGTCCGACAGGATCAGGATTGGACGATCCGCAGGGACCGTGACCGCATGAAGAATAGTTGCTGCTTCTGCCGAGAACACCGAACATTGTTTTGGCAGACTTCTGCTCGTTGGGGGAAATGTCACCAGCGATTCCCATTCCGACTCCAGCTCTCAATCTTGACCCGTCCGTGTAGCGATGCATGTAGTTGGGGTACGATCCGGTCAGCTCAGCTACCGATCTCCTAAGGCCTACGGAATTGTCCCCGGCTCTGAACTTCTCCTCTATCCGGCTGTCGATGTTTGGTGCGGGAGATTGCCAACTCTTATCTCCGTACCAGTGAATCTTGGCCACTGGGGGGAGCACAGCGTTGGCAATTGTATGGAGAACTCTGTCCCCCTCGCTAAGGAGGAAGATTCTGTCGTTTCCTGCGGACTTTGCTGAAAATGCAGCGGCTTTGTTGGCTGCGAAGATGCGGTACCGGAAAGGGAGAGTACCGGCTTCAAAACAGCTGGCATCGCACTATGGGCAAAAATGGGTCCAAAATTACCCAAAATTCAATATCTCAACAGCACGCTAAATTCCGGCCATGAAAAACAACTTTTCCGAAGGGAAATCGTCCGGGTAATCGATTGCACGTAATCCCATAGACCGGAGAACCTTGTAGGTATGTGTTTTGGACCATTTTACCCCATTTTCCCCTACTCTTTGGAGGAAATGTTTTTTCACAGCTCTATTTTTCGTAAAACATAAGCACTTTATGCATGGTTTTTGAATACTATGTCTTATAACAACAGTTCATGAGATATTAGGGGAATACGGGGTACACTTTATAGGGGAGTAAGGAGAAAAAGTGAAAATACAATCAATGTTTTTTCATACAAAATCCATTTTTTTTAATATCATAATATTTTTTTCTGAAAAATAATTTTAATTAACTTTTATTTGGTATTTTGAGTTCCGTCATCGGCCAAACAGTTCAAAAGTTATATTTTTTTTTTAAATCGTAAAATTTTTTTTTTTTTGACCGCCCTAATATATAAATAGTCATCCTAATGACAAAATACAAAATATGGGTCTAATATGTTGCGATAAGGAACAAAACTACCGATTTTTCAAAATTCTGAGAACCACTTTATCGTTTTGCTGTATACAGACAAAAAAAGTGAAAACTCTTTTAAAACATATAGCAGTAAATTAAAACTTATTTAGCCACAATTATCCTCAAAATTTCGAAAAAAAAAAATCTTATTATTGCAGGCAACCTTTGGGGTCATTCAAACAATCGCATCGTTCAACATTTTTATGAATTAAAATAAATTTAGCAAGGGTTCACTTTTACCCCTTACTCCCCTATAAAGTGTACCCCGTATTCCCCTAATATCTCATGAACTGTTGTTTAAAGACATAGTATTCAAAAACCATGTATAAAGTGCTTATGTTTTACGAAAAATAGAGCTGTGAAAAAACATTTCCTCCAAAAGTAGGGGAAAATGGGGTAAAATGGTCCAAAACACTTACCTACAAGGCTCTCCGGACTATGGGACTACGTGCAATCGATTCCCCGGACGATTTCTCTTGGGAAAAGTTTTCAGCGTGCTATTGAGATATTGAATTTTGGGTAATTTTTAACCCATTTTTGCCCATAGTGCATCGGCGCGGAGATAATGCGCGTGTAGCTATTGTACACCGGAACGAGTGTTTGTATTGCCTTTTCGGCGGCGATGCAGGTCAGCTCGAGTCCGTACATCTGCCGGCTGTCAACGATGGCCCGGGCAACACGGAAACGTACTTCTCCGTTGTTGGAGCGGTGGGGACGGGAGATTGTGCGGATGAGGTTGATCCTGCTGCGACAGCTAGCCTTGACCCCTTGAAAGTGCTTTACAAAACTCAGCGACCGGTCAATGACAATCCCCAGCAGTTTCACAGTTTTCTTCAATGGGATGGCTTGATCGCCTATCTTTATGGAAGGTACGCAGACCCGATGTCGGTACTGGCAAACGTGACACCTAGCGCTCCTTCCAGCAGCCAGCTGAAAACCTTTCAAAGCGGCCCATCTGGCTGATCCTCGTTCATCCTGGAGTCTGACCTGTGGTTACGATTAGCACATCGTCTTTGTACACGAAGATGTAGATGTTCGCGGGTAGCCGCTCAAAGACACTGTTCATGGCTACCAGGAACAAGGTGACAGCGATCACTGAACCTTGAGAAACGCCAGTTTCCTCGCAGAAAGTGCGGGATTTGGTATTACCTACCGAGACTCGGAAGGATCTGCCAGTCAGGAAATTTCGGACGAAATGGATGATATGGCCGCTAAGGCCCCAGCTGACAAGTTGTTTCAGTACCGAGGGCGTCCATGTGCGGTTGAAAGCTTTCGCAATGTCCAGGGAAACCAACTCCGTATGAAGACCGTTATCCTTGGCGTCCTTGAGAAGCTCCCCTAGCGTCGCAAAATACGTGGATGTACCGTGGCCTTGCCAGAATGCGTGTTGTCGATGGTCTAGAAGCGGCCTTTGACGGTTGACCATCCGCTCGAACACCTTTGCCATGGAGCAAGTGAGCGCAATGGGCCGGAACTTCACCACCTCCCGTGTTGGCTCGTTTGCTTTGGGGATGGGAACAACCAAGTTCTCCCTTCAATGCTCTGGATACGAGTCAGTTCGCCAAAGCTGGTTGAAGAGTTCCAGCATTTTTACTTTACCCGGAGTAGGCAGGTTCTTGAGCAGCGGGTAGCCAATCTCGTCTGGGCCGGTTGATTTTCCGTTGCTTCTACTAAGCGCGAACTGAAGCTTCTGCCAGGAGAAATCCTGGTTGATCCTCAGGTTGTTCGTGTCCACAGAAGCGCGAAAACTGCTTACGGACAAAGTTAATGGTTTTGCTAACCGTTGGAAGGTTGCCTCGTACTTAAAAATCGCAGAGAGGTCAGCGAAGTAATCGCCAAGCTTATCTGCAACGGTTGTGGAGTCGGCGACTGTAGCGCCGGCTACCTGGATATGCAGTGTGGCCGTGCGGCGCTTGCCACTGTGGGCGTTGACCTTACCCCAGAGCTCCGCCGAGGACTGTGAGACGTTTATGCTTTCAAGGAAGTCCACCCAACTGGATCGTTTGGCATCTCGGACCAATTGGGTTCTTTAAGGGTATTGAGGTAAATGCATATTCGTAATCTGCATTAAAAATGGAACCCAAACCCAATTTTTCATCAAGTTTGGTACCCTGGAACTATTTTAAATAAGAACGATTACATTTGCAAAAATAATCTTATTAGCGCCCCTTGGTGTCACTTTGTATGGGAGCGAGCTGTCAGTTTAGTGTCAAACAGTGAAATTATTATTTTGCTTTAAATCTTGATTTAAAAATCGAGATGAAAGTGTGTGGACTCGAAAAAAATATCGCTGTGTTCAGAAAACGAACCTCTTTCAGATAATATATAAAAACTGATATTTTTTTTCTAAATTAAAGAACCCAATTGGCGACACTGGTTGTGCCGTTCTCGATAGGTACAGAGCGCGTTTTCCCTATC